AATTGCCAAACCTTTTATTAAAAAAAATTATATTAAAAAAGAATTCTTAAATTTTCCTAACCTCTCCTTTTGTTCAGTGCAATTCTGTTAACTCCTCTTGAAGTTTATATATTTTCAACTCTTTATCACTGTTAAATGAACTAAATTAAAATTTTAAAAATAAAAACATAAAACAACTAAAATAGTGTTTTAAAATTACATTTATAAACTGTTGATTTTTAATTTAGATTGGGGAAATAATTTGAAAAACTATTTCTTTTGTCACTAAAGTTGAGTTGCTGTTTTTAAATTTGAAGATTTTATTAGCATATAGATTTATCTACATTTACCAAACAGGTTAAAAATCACAATTACAAGCTTTAGCAAAAGCTTTATGTCAAGCAATTTCAGAATTCCAAAGCTCAACATTTGTAACTTCAACAAAAGTTCAAGTCTTGAACTTTTGTTTGTTATAGACAATCACTTTACAAAAATCTTTACTTGCTAGAACATATCTTTTGTATGGAATACACTGGAGTATTCTTTTATTTTATTATATTTTGATTTTTTCAGTTGTTTACAGATTTTCTCTTCTTTATAGTTAAATAAAAGATTTTTTGGACATTTTTTAGGTTTCCTTGTATACCACAATTATTACAGATACTTAAAATTTGTACAGACTTTGCATTGTTTAAAGCATCGCATAACAGCTAATAGAGCACTTTTTTTGCATGTAATTTTTAATATTTAAAAATTGTAATTCCCCAAATTTTAATTAGAAAAAAATGAAAAAGGAAAAAAATTAAAATAGAAAAAAACTGAAAAATTGAAAAGAAAAAAAACCCTCATTTTTCCTAATTCTGAGGGTTGACTATATATACAATTACAAATACTAATATATAATATAATTAGCATAAGTGTAACTCAATGTTTACAAAATAGCAAAGTAATAAAACCCAATGTATACAAAAAAGCAATAATTTTTTTTTTAAATTTTGTTAGTTCACCTCCTCAAGGTCAAGAAAACCACTACAGTCGAGGAGGCTACTTATTTGTGGATATAACCTTCTTTTAACTCTATAACTCAGAAACACGAACCTTGAAGACCTGGTGGGGATTGAACTCAGAACCTCTCGCTTATGAACCGAGCACTCTACCACTACACCACTACCGCATATAAGTGCAAACAAGGGCAGGAAGAAACATCATAAGCACTAACTGTAACAACATAACACTATGTATGTAACTATGTAACAACAACACAACCGTAACAACAACTCAAACTAGCCGCTTAAACCTTCAGAATTGGCACTGAAGATAAGGCACTTTACCACTAAGCAATTGAAGATGTATGGTTGTATGAAAAACAAACCATATACATTTTTCATACCTATTGCAATTAGTCAACATTTTTCCAGCGGGTACCTCTAAATAAGTGCAACTTCATTGGATAGCATATGTAAATAATATAATAATAAACAAATATTTTATATGCAAATGTAAATTACTGATTGTAACTAAGTAATAATATAGTTAAAAAAAATATTCCAAAGCTTAAAACTGCTTTAATTTTTTTTAAATATTCTTAAGATAAATTTAGTTTAATAAATAAGAAAAATTTTGCATCAAACTGTTAATAAATCAACATTTAGTATAGGCTAAAATAAAATTAAGTTGCTCTTAAAATGAAATTTAAATTTTTGAAATTTAAATTACAAATTAAGTTAAATTCTAATTGGATTTTAATTACAAAAACTTTTTTTATTTATCTTCAATAATAAAATCAGGATGCAAATTTTATTAAGTAGAAACTTCAAAAGTGCAACTATTATGCAAATCTGTGGCATAAGTACAAGAGATTTGTGCAAGTGCAAACAACTGGCATAATTGCGTCTAAAAATTTTGCAAATACAGGGATAAACTTGCGTAGGTGTAAATCTTTGTCAATGTAAGCAACAATTTATATATCAAAAGTTATCAAAAAAATTAATTTAAATTGATAAATACAGGTACATTTTTTCAAGATTGCACTTATGCAGATTTTGACTTATACAGATTTTGCATAAGATTTTGGTTTTATGCAACTATAACAGTTACATAAATATGCAGATTCTTAGTTCTAAAACTTGCACTTAGTCAGGTTTGGTTGGGAAGCGGGTGCCATCGCACTCGATAACTGACCACGGAAATAGTATTTAGTTGCAAAAAACCGGCCAGATTTTTTAGTTGTTTTGAGAACATTTCAGTTTATGTATGTTTCCTTGTTTATCCGCAAAATAATAAGTTTTTTTTCACTGATCTCTATAATAAGTTAATATAGAGTTAATATATAATAAGTTATTATAGAGATCAGTGGTTTTTTTTATCGTTAATTTTGTTTTACGGACATACATGGAAACATACATAAACTTGAATGTTCTCAAACATCTAAGTGGGATATTCGGTAACACAAAAAACCCGCCAAATCTACAAACAACTAATTCTAATGGTTCCAAAGATACTAACCGAAATTTTAATCGAGTATTTAATAAATACTAACCGAATGTCCTGAGTTTTCTGTTGAAATATTTTAAAAAATTGTATTATTTGAATTTTGTTACTTTTTCAAGAGATTTCTAGCATAAATTATTTTAAGAATATACTATCAAACGAACTATTATTTTAATTCTTTGAGCCACATCTACAAAGCTTTAAATGTTTTAAACCAACATTATTTGTTTACAATAATAATTGTTTAAAATTTATATTTTTTTAACTTGTCAACGTTTTGTAAATATATTATACATTTTATTAGTATAATCTTATTTTTTATATATAAGGGATGTATTTTTTATGTATGTAATGTATTTTTATGTATGTAATGTATTTTTATCTATGTAATTTTATGTATGTGTATTTTATACAAATGTAATCTTTTAAAGCAATTTGTGCGATTGATTTTGTAAAATACTTACAATAATAACTGCGTTTTCAATGAAGTTATTAATATTCTTCAAAGTTAATACAAATAATTTTAACCACTAATCCATTTTCCTCAGTGTACCCGATAACTGATTCTTTTCCCCAAGAAAGAAAATATTTTTAAGTTCTTAGAAATTGGTTTATTAACTTCAATTATTTTTGCCTCTGCTATTCTTACAAATTCGTTATACTTTAAGTTACTTTTTTCTGTTCTAAATACTAATTAAAATTATAAAACCCACTCACTAAACATCATCAGCGTTATTGTGAAGCAATTCCGCATAAAACAGTTATTGAAAAAACTTTTTTATTTATAATCAAATCATCTAGTGTTAGTTTTATTGGTTGAATCTTGTTGGACTTTTCAGGGCCGGGGGCTGAAAAGTCTAACAAGATTCAACCAGTAAAACTACTACCCCTACCCCACCTCCTCAATCCGCAACTGGAAATAAGGCATAAGTATATAAATAAAAATTATATATACTCTGATTTATCGAAGAACATTTGCTTCTTTATAGTTGTTACTTTATATAAAAAATGTCGCTTAATTTTATAAAAAAATATATAAAAGAGCAACAATTCAAAAGTAATTGCTCTAATAAATTTATTTTGATTAAAGTTTTTTCGCGTTAAAACCTATTTTCCTTTTTTTAACTGATTCTTATCGATCCAGTTAATCTTACTGCGCTTTTTTGTTTGTTTTTGAAATGTTCTCAAAACGACTATAAAATCTGGCCGGTTTTTCGCAACTAAATAATATTTCCGTGGTCAATTATTGAGTGCGTTCGCACCTGCTTCCCGACTAAGCCTGCTTATGCAATTGCCCTTAAAAATAATTTTAAAAAATAAAAAAGTATTTTGTTTGAATTATGTACTCGATTATTCAAAATATTATTTTAAAATATATACTCCAAATTTCTTGTGATTCTCTAGCCTAACGTTTTATCACTATGTTGTTTGTTTGCTTTTTAATTATCCTCCACTAAGGTTTTAAATCATAAAAAATTTTTACAAGTTACTTTGTATTCTATGTTAATTTATGTTAAATTTCAAAATAAGTAACATTTTATAAAGACAAAAAAATATGAAATCAGCTTTTAGTGTTAAATATTCAAACCATATACATTTTTCATACACTTTGCAAATAGTCCTCACTGCATAAACCTTCTAAAGGTTTATGCAGTGAGGACTATTTTAAATTTACGAACACTTTCTAATAGATGTAAAAAATGTTTTGTAACTTTCTTATCTTAATTAAAAACAGTTAAAATGATTGGGTATACTAATGATGTATTATAAACTTTCTTATCTTAAGTAAAAACATAAAAAAATGATTGGGTATACTTATGATATATTACAAATGTTCCAACTTACTTTTTAACTATGAAAACTCATGACCAAAGTAATAAATCTCACTGAAAATAAAAATCATTTAACTTTAACTTAATTTTTATGTTTTGCCAAAAACCCTTTTGTGAATTCTTACTTAATGTGTAGGGCCAGCATGACACTGGCTTTTTTCAAATTAAATGGCGACAATAAATGTTTTTCAGCTTTTAAAGTTTTTTTTTAAAAACTGAAAACTATTTTGTTTAAAACATGGGATGGCATTCCAGTGTTAGAGCCATTATAATATTTTGCTACTAGGAGAGCCATTATGATACTTGGCTACAGGGAGGTTTCGCCAGAATTAAAAAAAAAGTGCTTGGCAAAATAATTTGTTTATTAATTCTAATCCCCTGGAATTAGCAAAGATGTAAAAAACTAATTTTCAAAATATTCAAGTCTTTAATTTGTTTGCTATTATTAACAAATCTAAACAGCAGCATTTAAAAGAACATACCCTCCAACAGCAATTCTTCCTTGCAACTCAAGAATTTCCTTATATATATATATATATATATATATATATATATATATATATATATATATATATATATATATATATATATATATATATATATATATATATATATATATATATATATATATATATATATATATATATATATATATATATATATATATATATATATATATATATATACATATATATATAT